TTTGTTAAGTGAGTTTTGCTCTGTTGTATGACTTTTCTTGCCACATTTGTTAAGTGAATCACTGCAGTTGATAAATAAATAAAATGGTTGTTAAGTGAATCTGGTTTCCCCATTGACTTTGCTACTCAGAAGATCACAAAAGGTGATCAAATGACGCAGGGACCCTGCAACTCTTGTAAATGTGAGACAGTTACCAAGCATCCGAATGTAAATCACGTGACCATGGGGATGCTACACAGTTATATGTGTGGAAAATTGTCATAAGTCACTTTTTTTTCAGTGACATTGTAACTTTGTATAGTCACTAAATGAACTGTTGTAAGTCAAGGACTACCTGAAATACAACCTTTGCCTTTTTCCAAAAGTTTCTTGCACCAGTTGGGATGAAGTGCTGTTTGTGTGTGGTTGTTCCTCATCTAGTTGCTACTGATCTCCCAGCAAAGCTCCAGACTCCAGCCAGAACTCTCACCAAGATTTGCTACTCATCATAGCTTGTGGTTCTGGCAGTTGGATGAAAATCATCTTGCCTGCTTGTAATAGCTGCCAGTCTTCAGACGTTGCCTTAGTTTCCTTGTGTGTAGACCATTTGTTTTCATCTTCTGTACTACATACACTCCTCTTTCCACTCTTCCTAAGCTCAATAGACTGGCTTGGGTGAGTCTGCCTCTTGAGGAGAATATGTCCTTGAAAACAACAATGTGTGGCTCAGTTACCACAGACAACTGCAACAGGGCTTGGCTACCTATGAGTAACTGGATGAATGCATGTCTGAATGCATGAGGAAAATGAGGAGTGTTTTTGCAAGGCTGCAGCTGCTTTTTCTAAGGAGACCTTACTCCCTCTCAGGATTTCTGACATGACCAAAATTCTCCGCAAACTGAAGTAGAAGAATCTGTTTTCCAGCCCACATTCAAAAAGTTCAGCTGTTAGAAATTGAAGCTGTGAGCTGGATCTGGAATTAGATATTGGAAAGTTGTAATCTGAGGAGCAGATGTCAAAACAATATTGGCCTGAGGTGTTCCCCAAAGTAACTGGGGAATTCCTCAAATTATCAGGCAACATGTCCTTCAGCCATGCTAGCTGGGAACCCTAGACCGAGTTTTGGAAGACTGGTTTTTGTGCACAATTGGGAGCGCAGATCTTCAGGCTTCCTCATGTATTTTTAAATGTGAGATCTTTGTGTGTGATGAAAGCTCCCTATTAGTGATAACATCTAAACAGTTCATTTCAGAAACAGACTCAAGGGATATCAAAATATGTGTCGGATAATAGCAAGAGACAGACTGAACAAAATAATAATTGATTAAAAAAAGGAGCAAAATGATGCAGTTAGAATCCATGGGGAAAACAGAGCACAATTTAGCATTCCTCAAAGAATTTTGGAAGTCCAGTTTGAAATAAAATCGACAGTTCTTTTTACAAGGTATATTTTCAAAACATATCAGCAAGAACTATCTCAATTGATTAGGATACATGTTTATAGCGATAAGGATCAATCTTAGCACAATATTGAAAAAGAGATACATTACTGATGATGTCAGATTGGGAACTAAACTTTGGAGAATATGTAGTAATAGTAAAATCAACAACATGTATTCTCAACAGATGTATAACCAAATGGCTTCCATACATACTATATAATATATTACACAATAAGGCAAATATAAATACCTAGAGTACTGTATAGTTTTTAAGGAGAAAAAGAGCTGACAAATACTTCACAGAGACAAAAACATTTTTAATTTCTGTAAATGATATATATCAGAATATGGCAAAGGTGAAATTAGAAAGTAATATTTATAATGTAGGTTTTTTCTTTGTATGTTCAAACAACAAATAATAAAATTATAACACCTTGGTCAAAGATTTGAATTCTTACATTGTGAAAATAATTCAATGTACTTAAATAAAATTTAATGTTTTATGGTTAATTTCTAATCAGCAATATACTGAGCACTAACTGTGCAATCTTGGTAATTCTTTTGTTCACTTATACATATTATTTTCTCCTTTTGCTTGCTTGCTTATTTGCTTTCTTTTCTTTTAAAGATGATTAAGAAATGTGTTTGGTTTTTTTTTTTAAGAAAAAGAACCTACCGTAATAGTTTAGTGCAGTGATTCTAGAACGAAGTGCACAGAATACATAATGTGGCTTACTAATAATGATTTAAAAGAACTGTACGGGTTTCACTTAAGAAGCCTGTAGCTCTATAGTAGGAAATTATATGCAGAAATGTTTTCACAAAGACAATGACCTTGTTTGTGCATAAAATTAAGTGTAGCATGGTTTATAAAACTCAGCCATTGTGATTTAGCATTATGTGAATACCTGCTCCCAATGGACAGCAGGAGATAGATGTAGGCCATGGAGATGTACTTGAGTGATCTTGTAGTCAGCAATATTTATATCAATTCATTCTGTTTCTTCAATATATTGGAAGTGCTGCCATTTACAATGGGTATGCAAAATCAACAAGTTACAATTATGGTAGTTATACTTAGCATGGAATAATATCTCCAGGCACTTTTACAAAGATAATATATAAAAATCTTTTAATCATCTAAACTACATATATTGTGATTATATACCCTCTAATCTCAATTTAATCCTCATTTTTTGGGAAAAAACACCATGCTTTTAAGAAACACCTATGACTACCTATGGAGCACTAAAACAGTTCTAATAGGAACTGAAATCATATTTCATATAAAAGAAACATAATTAGATTAGATTGGCCCCTCCCTGCTCAACTTTCAAAGGACTTGAAATCTTGGGGTTTTTTTACCCGTGTTTTGGATTCTAGGTATTTAATGGATTCCATCTGCTGGCTAAGTTGATAGTTGTTTGAATGATGCCTGGCTATTATTTCTTTTATTTTTTACATTTTGTATTTTATCCATTTTATTGTAAGCTACCTAGATATCTCAAATACGTGAGATGGATGGCTGTATAGAATGAATGAATGAATGAATGAATGAATGATTGAATGATTTAAACTTTCTTGGAGCTGGTGTGCTAGAAAGAGAAACAGCTGCATAAACAATCTAGACACAATTTTCTTCCTTTGAAATTGATTCCTTATAGTTGATATTTCTGGTGGATGAATGTGACATAATAAAGGATTTGATCTGTAGTTACAAACCTCATCATTGTTCTGCATATATGAAATATATCCACTGTCGTGATACTACTGTACTATAGGCAGTACTCTCAACTAAGCAGCTTGCAGCCTGGTAATCTCCAGATGTATTGCTGTTTCAGACAGTAATCCATGCTCTAGCAACGTTTAGGTAGGATTTTCTCTTCAGACTTTCCCCCTGGAGATCTTGGGCTCTTTTGGAAGACTTTAGTGATGGGGTAAAAGGATGACACTACCCCCCCCCCCACCAAGGAGTATAGATACTGCGGACTGATGCTTTTGAAGTATTTGTTTATCGTTGATTATTTGTTTGTTTGTTGTATTTCTAAAACTTACAGGAGCTTTAAAACGGTCACACAGTTAGACACTTGAATCACACACACACAAACACAAACACACACACACACACACAGACACACAAACCCCTTTCGAAGGCTGTCATGAATTTACACTTACCTCAGAATACAGCTGCTAGGACCAGATGGGAAGCTGGTCTGCATGTTAGGGACTATATTATTTCAGTTGTTAAGTAACTGGATGGGCTTCATATTTCAAAGCACAGATGTTGGTGTCATGTTTATGGAATTCCTTTTCTAGAGAGGTTCATCTAACGAGATACTGTTATTTTTTGGAAACCAGATGTTTTTTATTTTCCCTAGATTACATGACTCGGCATTGATTTTAGGAAGGATTCTGCATAAATGACTTTAAATAATTGCAGAAAATACATAAAGGTTACACTGAAAAGCAAACTAATACTCAATCTTTTAAAGGCTACCTGACCTGCTGTTTAATGATATGGTTGAACAATATTACCAATCATACTACTCTCACCTTGTCTGGACTTTCTACCATGTTATATTTAATAATAAATAGATAACATGGTAGTTGAAATGGCTTTGATAATATGTCTGCATGTGTCATTTTAACAGCTCTTATCAATGTGATTTGGGGTAGGGGTGGGTAGAAATTCAGAATATGCTATATGAATTTAATGACATTTTATTTGGAGACTTTAATTACAGGATATCAAATATCAAGTGTGGTGGGCAAGATGCAAGCATAGCGCTTTAAATCCCTTACTTGTCAAAACAACTATATCGGCATTGATGTAGCATCTTCCCTTCCTTTTATCTCCCTTATTTGTGCATTCTTGATCTATACAGTTCACCTCTCGTTCTAAAGAGACGTACCAGAAGTTATAATTCTAAATGTTAAATATAAAAAAAAATGTTTAAGGGGCATAATATTAAAAATGAAACAAGAGTTTCTATAAGGTTTCAAAGGGAGAGTTCTGTTAATCATTGCCTTAGCTTTTCTAAAACAATATATGAGCCAAATTTACCTCAATGTCATCGTTCAGGACATGTTTTTGGTCTCTGTTAATTTGAAATTAATCCTGTGAGTGGATGGGTGGGTTGATGTTTTTTCCCCTCTTCTTCAGCATTGAGAAATGAGTTCTCTAAACCAGGCCCTGTGCTTGTTCCCAAAGGACCATGTAGGTTTTATCTGTAATAAAATACTAAATATAAGCCCACTCACCCTCTCCAACTCTGTGCTAGAGCAAAGGAACTTGAAGAGGACTTCTGTGTAACAAGCTCTTAATTTTGGAATCTCTCCAATGTCAGCGAAGGGTTGTTAAAAGCCTTTCCTCGTCTCCAGGCTTAAAGGGGAAAAAATGAGTTCAGCAATGTTAAAACATGACAAAGACTTTTATGCACCCCAGGCAAAGGAATAATGTTTTAATCCTTAGTGCAACATGTATGTGGTAATTTGTGATGTTTAGATATTTTTTTTAGAGTTATCTTCTATATATGGTCATTCAAATCCACTTACTTTTTTATTTCTTTCCTTTTCTAGGCTCTTTACAATTCAATCAAAAATGAAAAGCTTGAGTGGGCAGTGTAAGTATCTTATGTTGAACTAATAAGCTTCAAATGATTCCTTTTATGGTATTCCACTTGATGTACCTGCAGTATATGGATATAGATTCTAGAAATTGCAGAGATCAGGAGAGGGAACCTCTTACATTTATTTATAGTTTCTCCTCGACTTATGACCACAATTGATCCCCAGATTTCCCTTGCTAACCAAGATAGTTGTTAAGTGAGTTTTGCCCCATTTTACGACTTTTCTTCCCCCTGATTATTAAGGGAATCACTACAGTTGTTAAGTTAGAAACTCAATTGTTAAGGGAATCTGATCACAAGACACTTCAACCATCATAAATATGAGTCAGTTGCCAAGCGACTGAATTTTGATCATGTGACTATGAGGATGCTGCAGTGCTCACTAGTATGAAAAATGGTTATATATCACTTTTTTCAGTGCTGTTGTAACTTGGAATAGTCACTAAATAAATGGATGTAAGTTGAAGACTATCTGTATTTACTTTTATTCTGATTTCATTGTAATATATCAGACATCTTTCATTTTTCATCAGGCAGTCTTAATTCATTCTTAATAACTAAATTAGTATGGCCCCTGAAAAGGGCTGATTTAACCTGTTAAATATATAGTTTTAGGCAAGTCATTCTTTATTAAGATCAATTCCATTTGCAATGTGAGGATAATAACTTGAAGAGTATATCTGGTTAGATTCCATAAAATAAAGTTTACAAGTTTCTTGTATGGAGATTTCTGAGCTTTGTTTTCTGCTAATAGATGTTTCATTACCCAACAGCAGTACAAGATAACCGAATAGTGATGGGTAACAAAACATCTGCAAGAATGTTTTTCTTTTGAATCTTTTTACTTATTAAAAATTGTGCCACCCATCATGATTCATATTCTTAGTATGGTGTACATCCACGCACATATAGCATTTTAAAGTTTAGTTGCCAGAGGATGGATTGCAGCACAAGTCCAAAAGCTCGGAAGAGTAAACCTCTGGTCCTGGTGATTAGATCCTGAAATAATTTTAAGTTGATGACCACTTGTGATTTCTTGGAGAACAGAAATTGGGGATGCCTGTTAGCAATGTTCCCTCTAATTTTTTTTCAGTGTGAGCAGAAAAGTATAGTGTTTGAGCGGCACAGTTTCATGCCTGAGCA